GTGACGGAGCGTTTATTAAGACCCATTTAGCAAGCGCAACACCCGGTTCCGGAACCCAGAATTCACTTAAACCAGGGGGAAAGAAAAACCCACAGAAACGGATGGGTCTACTCCAGTGCAAGCGGGTTGTGCCTAGCAGGGTTTTTCTCAGCAGGCGATCCGCAAACGCTTAAGCCTGAGCAAGGCGCATCGACACGCGCCCCCCATTTACAGAAACGAGATATCCTTTGGCGAGGAAAAGGGGCCTCTCATCATGCCGACCCTTCTTGGGGCCCGGGGCCGCCGTTTTTAATGTTCGAGGGGGCGGGAGGGGGAGCGAGTCCGGGTCGAGTGATTTCACACGCCCCCCCCCTCTCAAAAAATTCAGTTGACGGCTGCATGCGAATACATGAAACTGAATATTTGATTGAGGCGAGGGTCCTAAACATGCCCCCCCTCGCCGAGGAAACACGCATCATTTCGGGCTCGGGAAAAGAACCGGGGTCCGGTTTGCGCGTCCCCCCCCTGCCAAGCGCGGGTCCCTCGCCGCCTTCGCCGCAGCCCCCTCCTCTCCTGCTGATCCCCAAGGGATCGCGCGCACCCCCCCCCATCCGCACCCCTCCACTCGCCCCAGCCAGGGCCACTCACCGCCCGGGAGGTTCCTCGGGGCCGGGGCTGCCCAGGACCCCGGAGCGCCCTCCGCCTCGCCTCGCCCCGGCCCCCCGCCCCGATCCGCCTCCTGGGGGGCCGCGGGCCCGAGTGTGGAGGCGCAGGGTGGGGCCCACCTCCCTCCTGGCGCCTCGCGAAGGCCGGATCAGTCCTCCTGTTGGGTGATCTGCCCCCTCCCTTCCCGGACTTCGGGGAGGGACGCCGGGAAGGCTGGGGGGGGGGGGTCCCAGATTGGGCGCTGGCCCCGTTTCTTGGGGGGCGGGGATTTCCTCCCAGAGCCTGGAGGGGCCTGCTTGCCACGGTGGGGGGGGGGCGTGTGAACGGGCAGAGCTGGACCCTCGAGGAGGAGGAGGAGGAAGAAGAAGGGAGAGTGCAGCCCCCTGGGACAGGGGAAGGTGCCCCGGAGGGGGAAGTCTGAGGGTGTCCCCCCCCCCCATCATCATCCCTGAGCGGCTCCCAAGGAAGTCCGGACTCCTGCTTGGCTGTGAGGGAGGACGCTGTGATGGGGGGCCCCGGCCCTCTCCTGCCAAGTGCCCCTGCTTAACGGGTTTATGGATGGCGCTGTCGGCGCACAGTCTTCCATAGGGCAGGGAAGGAAGGGATCGCCCAGCCCTGTCTTTGCTGGACGGGAATCGGGCAGCTGTGATTCAGGAGGTCCTGAGTTCCAGTCTCGCTTCTCCCGCAAGTCCCTTCGCTCATCCCTTCCCCTGTCTCAGCAGCAGGGTGTGAGAACTGGCCTACCTTGCAGGGATCCGCTGAGGGCAGTGCGAGGAAGGAAAGGCCGAGGAGGATCGCACGGCAAAGTGGTCCTCGGCAGAGACCTGGCTTTTGCCGACAAGGGATCGATCTGCCCGTCAATGATTCATCGCCGGCCTGCGCTTGAAGCCCTTGATGCATGGCGGCAGACGGGCAGACAGACAGACAGGCGTGGCCTTTTCCCTCGTGGCCCCCGCACCCGCCAGAAGGGTTTTCGCGTTCAGGGCCCGGGTGATCCCGCCCGCGGGAATGAGAAATCACACGTGACGCGCTCCCGGGTCCCTGGCACAGGCGGCGGAGGGGTCGGGAGCTGTGCGCGGGGGCCGGGGGGCGGGAGCCAAGCCGGAAGGAAAGCCCCTCCCCAGCTTCAAGCCTTGCCTCTCCGCTGCGGGCAAAGGACCCCGGGGGGGCTTCCTTCCTGGCCACACGCCTGGACCCGGGGCACCCCCAGACGCACGTTTGCCCGCAACGGGTGCCGGAAACCACCCCCGGCCCGGCGAACAGGGCCTGCCTCTTGCCGTGGGTGGCAGCGCCGTGGGTGGGCCTGGGGGGGCTCGTCCCGTCCTGCCGCCCCCCCTCCCCCGCCAAGGATCGCCCCTGCTCCGCCCGGGCTTGTGAGCCTGGGCGCATTCCACACGGCCCCTAAAAAGGCTCGCCAACCCCGCGCCGCCGGGCGCCTCTGCCTGCAGCTCCGCCGCTGGGGGAAGCAAGCGCTCCCTCCCTCCCTCTCTCCCGGGCCGGTGGCCTAGCGAGGCAGCCCGTGCTCTGCAGCCAGGAGACGGGCCTGGAGAGGCGAGGACGCCGAGGCCTGCCTCGCCTCAGCCCTTGGTCCCGGTCGGACTCTCCGGGGACGTTTGGGCTGGCGGGGGATGCTTCCGACACCTTTGCGGGGGCCCCCGCTCGCTCTCCTCCCCGACCCCCCTCCAGGGGGGTGGTGGAAGGAAGGAGGAGAGAGGAGAGGTGGAGGAAGCGGAGCAAAGGAAGGGCACGCGCGAGAGCGTCCCAGTTTTACAGCGAGATCCAGCCGAGACCGAAATCAGACGTCGCTCCGGCTCGCCCGCTCAGCGCGATGGAGCGCCTGCCTCCCGCCACGGACTGCGGCGTCCTCTCGGCTCGGGCGGCGCGCGGCCCTTGACCAGAAGGGGTGGGTCGGTTTCGCTTTGGGTTGGCAAGGCCGGACCGGGAGGGGGGAAGAGCGAGGCTCGCTCGCGCCCCTCCCCAAGAGCGCCGGGAGGGATCCGGACTTCCGAGGGTCCCCAGCGCGTCCCGGAGTCTCTGTGTTGGAGCTTCTTTCTGGGGTTCGGAAAGCCGGGGGGTCAGAAGTTGCGGAGGGGGGATCTCCTTCCGTGAGCCCCCCCTCTCCCCCTCCCGTCTCTGAAGGCTACAAGATCCTCTTGGGCTGCTGTTGCAAAGGACAGATTTTTAAAGGCGTCCTTGTGGGTTGTTTGTATTTGTCGTGTTTTTTTTTTAAAGCGGGGGAGTTCTTATTGGGGGGGGGAGAGCAACCAACCAGGACTTACCGGTGCTCGGAAACCTCCCGAAGAACTCGGATCCGTGGGCCGTTTTTGTGCTTTCTGGGTCTCTTCTTTCTTAGCTTCGTGTGTGTGTGTTTCTGTGTGTTTTTCTTCCGCCGACCTTCCGTTCCGGAAGAAACCCCCGAAGCCGCTTTGCTTGGGAAGAACTTGGGGCTTGAAATTGACTAAGCCGGCGAGCCGGGAGCAGAGCGAGGTGAAATTGACTAGCCGCCGCCGGAGATTGTTCCCGGGAGGTGTGTGCCGGGTGGGGGGGTGGAACTGAAACTGACAAGCAAGCAACCGCCTCCCCCCTCAACTCCCAACCCCTCCCTCGCCGGAGGGAACGCGCTCTCCTCCTGGATTTGTGGATGTACTAATGAGAGATCCAGCGTTCCCGGGGACTGCCATGGCGTACCACCCGTTCCACGCGCCCAGACCGTCAGATTTCCCCATGTCTGCCTTCCTGGCCGCCGCTCAGCCCTCTTTCTTCCCGGCTTTGGCTCTGCCCCCGGCCGCTCTGACAAAACCTTTGACGGATCCCAGCCTGGCCGGGGCCGCAGAAGCCAGCCTGCATGTCTCGGCCCTGGGACACCACCACCAGGCCGCCCATCTGCGGTCGCTGAAAAGCTTGGAGCCCGAGGAAGAGGTGGAGGACGACCCCAAAGTGACCCTAGAAGCCAAGGAGCTTTGGGATCAGTTTCACAAGCTGGGGACCGAGATGGTGATCACCAAATCGGGAAGGTAAGAAGGGACTGAACAGTGCCGCTTAGAAACGATAACAGAAGAGAGAATCTGGACCCAAACTTGGTGCTATTGCTTCAGGAAAGAGAATCGTGACTGATTTGGGCCTCCGAGGAGGGAATCAGTCTTCAGCTCCCCCTTCGAAAAGAACCCTCTTTCC